GAAGTGATTCAACACAATCTGCTGCTTTCTTCTTTACATTGTTCTTTTTATGTACAGTACCCTGAGACAACGTATGTTTGTACGAGTACTTGTACAAATGGTATCTGTACTAATACTRTGACACCACTACAAGCAGCACAGACCATGAAGACATGTCTCAACCTGTCCATCATCMCTGCAGACTAGAGGGGGCTTCAGAATCACAAAACGTTAGAGTTTTTATCAAGTGATAAATTTCAGCTGCCTGGAGGTTGAGGAAGAAGTGAAAAAAAACTGCTGCAGACACATTTTATTAACAAGCCAACGCTTCGTGGAAAATGTTACTTTTACTAAATCATTTGATTCTCAACATGTTCTGAATTTAAACAGTAAGAATCCTACAGTTTAACCTGAATGTTGTTTCCTCACTTCTGAGAAAACGTAGACGTTTAAACCCTGAAGGAAAGATCGGTTCACTGCTGTGTGACTGAACCAAGACAAAATGTTCAGTAAAGTTATATGTGTGACAATCTCTGGGTCACAGTGTGGATAACAGTTAAATAAACCTGTTTTATTTCAGTCTGGCAGGCTGTTTGTTGTGCTTCAGGGATAAGGACAGTATGTGGCTGTAGCTTGGGGCGTTTTACCCCCCAGACACGGATTTCCCTCCAGATGTTGTGGAAAGTTGTTCTAAAATGAAACGCTGTCAGAAGCCAGTTCCACAGCATTCCACAGATCCCAGTGATGGGTGTTGAACTGTCAGCATGCCTCACACACGTCACCGAGTGCTTTGGTTCTGGGCTTAACCCCTTCAGACTCCAGGATTAGTTTCTTTAAATCAATTTGTTATTTTGTAAATATTTGTATTTACCTCAAACACAAGCAAGTAGACAAAAATATTAGGCATGCTGAAATCGTTTTTAAAATTTTTATTAATTATTTTTGTTATTTCCATGCAACAAGTCATTTTTAAAAGCAAACACTCAATTGAACTAATTTTGTTAAATACAGAGACTAAAGGAACTTGCCACAAGTTAAAGGATTTAGCAACATTTGTAGCTTAAAGAAATAAAACTCAGAAAATGACAGGAGTAAAATATAAAAGTAAAATGAGTAAAAGTGTTGTGTAATCTTCACAGAGAGGCTGATCTAATCTGCGTTTCTGCTATTTTACTTCTCCTGGGAGATTTGCTTGTAAGCCGTCAGTGTTTGGGAGAGTTTGTGGAGCGCCCCCTGGTGCTGGGGGTGCGCCTCACACACGTCCTGCACCACGGTGCTGACAGCCTCCAGGCGCTCCCTCTCTCTCTGCAGAGCAGCTGCGATAGCTTCTCTGCTGGAGGAGACCCTGTACTTGCCCTCGCAAACATCCCGCAGCTTCCTGCAGCGATTCTGCGCAGCCAGTAAAAAGATTTTTTCCTGATGAGAGACGAGAAAAGAAGAACGGCTAAAGCTGTATTTGGTGTTGTGGGAGGTTTGCAGCAGCAACACGTCTGTCACCACACCTTCATGTGACACAAAGACAGATTCTTTCAGCTCTGACACATAGCAGGTCACTGAAGCATCACGCTCAACACTAAACCTGTGCACCTGGGCTAAAAAAAGAAAAGAATTCAAACAGACTCACTGCTTCTTTTTTGTCCTGGAGCTTCTCCAAGTCAGAGTCTAGTTGTCTGCGGATGGAAGTCTGTTCTGCTAGCTGCTGCTCCTTATGCTCAACGAGGCTGCTCAGATGGTCCTTTTTCATTTCCAGCTCCAGGTTCACTTTCTTACGSTTTGCAATCTCCTGAATAAAACAAATGTGTTTACCTTTAAACCATTAAACTCTGGCAGATCCTAAAAATCCACTTCTCTTACCWGTTTGGTTCTCTTGATCCGGCGGATCAGGGCCTCGTTGGAGCRTTTCTTCTCAGCCAGGGCCTTCTCTCTGTTCGCGCTGTGAGCCATGTCTATTYTACGCTGAAGGATTCTGCCCATCTTGGCCCCAGCGGCCTCACCCTCCCTCAACAGCTTCTTCTGTTGTTTAGTCAGCTGGTTGATTCGCAACTGCACAAACACACAGAGTTAGGTCCACAAGAACATTTAACACAAACCATTTGTTTCATTTACAGTTGATGGTGTGGAGATCTGTAAAGTTAGTGAGGTGAAGTTTTTGGGTGTTATTATTGATGAAAACCTGACCTGG